AAACCCAGATGTCTTTGACAGCTATGCAAATTCCTGAAATTAACAAATTTTGTACAGAATCCACATGCATGAGACCAGGTAACATTGCACTAGTGTGGAGCATGCCAAAATGAATGTGTGCTCTACATAAAATAAGGCAAATTTAAATTTGCAACATTTGTCATCAATAAACCGAAACTAGTTCACTTCTTTCTGCTGAAAAGAACATGTGGTAAAAATGTTGTTCTATTAAAAAAAAATTTAAAAGCTGAGTTTATTGCTTGGAAGAGAAACTTTGAACTTACTTCTTCCTCAGGATGACAGTTATCTTAAAAAACTTATAAAAAGACAGAACTCCGAATTATTGTTGTTACTTAACTAGCATACCAAGAAAAAAAAAAGATATTAAATTTGTATACTGTCCCTTAATTTCAGATTAGCATATCTTCTGCTCCCATTGTTTGAAGACGTGTTATTATGTTATCTTTTCTTGAATCTATACCACAGTATAGATAATTAGGAAAAAATATTTTTCACCTGGCAAATAAATTAAACGAAGTTAAGAAGCTGAAGCAAAACTGAATTGTTAATTGGAATGCATAGCTGGGCCACTAGATGGCACAAAATGCTCACCTATGCAATAAAGCCATGACGGTTCGCCAGCAATACAGTTCAGTCTGATCAATTCTGTGCAGGTAAAACGGGCTGTGAAAAGATTTTCGGCTTCTAAAAATTGTTTTGCTGACAGTAGGTAATCGTTAAAGGAATGTGGTTTTGCCATCACCTTTGATGTCAAGGCAATAGGAGGAAACTTCACAAGTTTCAATGTGTGATTTTTTTTCAGCTGGTGATTCTTTTTACATGACTGTTAAAGTGGGTGTAGGTAATTTCACAGTCAATGTTTGAACTGCAGAGATCACTGAGTTTTATGTCAAAGAGGTGATTATAATTCTTCATTGGACCTCTGGGTGATACCAGATGTGAAATTTATTGCTTGGATAGTATTGGTGCAAGATCAAGTTTTCTCAAGTGTTGCATTGCTGTCCTGTGCAGAGATTACTACTCAGTTCAAAATGATGAAGTGTGTGTGTGAGGGAGGATAGGATAGGGGCATGGGCAGCCTAAGCAGATTCAGGGTATGTCACAATCTTACTTTGGTCAAGAGTTAAGTGACTGATTGTTAGGAGTTGCTTAAAAAATAACAAAAAAGTGGTTCCTTCCAGATCAGCTGGTTGCAGGTCCACTGCTCTCCCCAGCTGCTGGCACACAAGCCTACATCACCACTCCAGTTGCTGCTCAAACCTCCTTGTGCATCCCTGATGGTTGGTGAAGACCTATGATTGTCCCCAATAGCTGACACTCGAGGCTGCTGGTCTCTGGCATATCTAGTGCTCCACTATGATCCCTCACTTTGCCTGCTTGCAGGCTGTGGTCTATTTTAGGAATTTGGCCTATGATTTTACCGTTCATTTGATACCTCACTCCCAGACTTCTCATCCGACTGGTTGGCTAGACTGGCCTGAGGTTTGCTGGTGAATTACAAGTGTCTGCATACCTATGCATGGCACTGAAAATCCTGGAGGTAGTGTGTACATTTTTCACTCTGGCTAATTTCTGGCAGCACAGTCCTGCAGGCCTCTGTGACTTGTGGTTCCCTTTGTAGTTACTGGCTCTCAGACACAAACACATGTGTGTGAGATTAGTGTCATCTCATTTGGAAAATTAGTACAGCAATATAGTCCAATAAGTAGGCAGGAGAGACTATAGTGTTCAGATCCAGGACTCTGCTAGACAAGTGTACTGATCTGCTTATTCTCTGCTGGTCCTTTATCTTTTTTTCCTCTTCCCCACCCTCGTCCACCCCACCCCTGCTTGTTACTTCTCAATCTACCTCATTCTCTCCCTTTTCCCACCTGTGTTTCTACCTCTAATTATCTCATTGCCTTAGATGTTCCTGCAGTTCTCTTAAAACCATATGCCA